CTTTCTGGTCTTTCTGGTCTTGCAGTAACCCCTTGTACTCATTGGGTTTGAATGATGTGGGTGTTCATTCAGGTGTTGTGTGCAGATCTATCCGTCTCTGTCTGTCTATCTATATATGATTTTAAATGATTTTATATTAGAATATAATATCATATAGAATATATCTATCTTTTTTTATTATGACAATACAAATAATTTAATATTTTTATATTGATTTTTTCTCTGCTTTTTTTTTTTTTTTTTTTTTTTTACAAGTGTGGTCAGCAGATGCACCATTTATAATTCAAACTGTCATGATCTTGCTTAGACCAGGATATTTTCTTAATTTAACATTTTAATGCCAAGGACATGTAAGTAAATAAATATAAATATATATATATATATTTTTTTTTTTGTTGTTGTTGTACAATTATTTGTTTAAAGCTTATTTAGCTTTTATTAAGTTGAATTTATTCCTAACCGCTAATGGGGATATATAATGTGTGTGTGTGTGTGTGTGTATGTATGTGTGTGTATATATGTATGTATATGTGACTAGGAATAAAAGCATAATCAGTAAATGTTTTGTTTTTTTCAATTAGTACATGTTTGAGTGATTGTGAACATTGCCAAAATTATCCAGACAGTGGTTTTTCACTCAAATCTCGGACTCGACTAATTCGTTACAAAAAGAAACAAAACCTGTGGTAATTGAAAACATACTGATGAAAAGACTAAACCAGGTTTTATCAGTGTATTCCTATCATCTTCCTTTTATGCATTTATGTAGAACAAAAAATTACAAATTTACTTGCATTTTTGCTAAATGTGCTAAACCTTTAGCATTGGTGTCATACTCTACCAGTTGAGTTACTAGAACTCGGTCATTCAGTGATTCATTAAAATTTGTAGCCAAACATTGTATGTTGATGTAATACTGTCTGACTATTAAGAAGTGTATTGTGTTTTTATGGTTGCAGTTCCCTTCGCTGCAGTAACCCGTGTCCGGGGCCTCTGTGGTGTTCCTGATGTCCCTCTCCCACCCCTGAAGATCCCAGGTGGGCGAGGGAATGATCAGCGGGATCACAGTCTTTCAGCTAAGCTATTCTATTCTGTGAGTACAGAGGGTTTGGTTCACATCACATGAAAATGTGTTTGTGTGAATGAATGATAACATGAATTTAGATTTGTGAATGCATTTTTTTTTATTTACTAAGTGTCCTTTAACTTAATTCCTCATAAAGAGAATGTGTGCATGATGTATGCTTTATCTCACTGTGCAATGGTCATATCTTATCTGCATATTAATCTCATCACCTGTGGGAATTGACGTTGGACATTTCACCTCGCCTGATTTCTCACGTTAATGATTTAAATGCTACAGTTTGTTAAATGGCTGTGCTGTAGTAATTGTCCTTGACCGCATATAACTGTTTGTTGTTTTTGAAGGATGCTCAGTTACTGGTTCTTGAGGAAGCCCCTCAGTTGAACAGCCGTGTACGTTTTTTGCTCTTTGAGCGGCGCTGCTCTGTGAGCAAGCACTTAGTCTGGAGGGGAGCACTGAAGGGGGCAAACCTTTACATCGAAATCCCCACTGGTGTCCTCCCAGAAGGGAGCAAAGATAGGTTAGTCAAATGAACATTTCTTCATTTTTTTTTTTCTTTTATACCTACAGGAAAAAGTTGTGTGGCTTAAACTGATTGTTCCAAATTTTTTTTTTTTTTTTGGCAACAGTTTTTCACTCTTGCTGGAGTTTGCAGAGGAGAAGTTACAGGTTGATCACGTTTTCATCTGCTTCCATAAGAACCGAGATGAC